CTATGAATGAGACAGACTTGGCTTCCAATATCAACCCCATCACTCATTAGATCACTTATTAGCTATATGACCTAGGATAAGTTATTTAACATCTCTGTACTTCCGTTTCCTGCTTTATCAAATGGGAATAAGAAGCATGCCTTAAGATGGCGTAATAATTTATGTGGTATGCAAAAGGGATATAGCAAATACTCAATGAATGTTTGTGCTGATACCAGAAAGTATAAATTGAATTGCACATTTATCATATCTCCCCATACAGCTTTTGTAGTTTAAACCTCATAGATTTCATCAACTATTCCTTATAACACTCCATCATCTTTTCTACCTTCTTCTTGAAAGCTTGTTTTTCAACATTGCTATTAATGTCAATGGTCACACACTTGTACACCATCTAGCAGATAAAGTCTCCTCCTCTTTGGAGGATATGGTGTACATCTCTTTTATTTGCCTATGCTTAAGCTGAGGAGTCATCCTTGACTTTTCCTTTCTCTCTAGCCACTCTGGCAGGCATTCAAATTTTAATTCCAAAATTAAAATTAATATTAATTTTATGAATATTTTGCCAATAAGGTGAAATAAGAGCTAAGATGAAAAGAAATTCACCATTCTGCCACCTCCAGATATAGGAATACATGATCTGATGAGTCAAAGATTATAACATTGATTCAGTGTTGTACATTAGCCAGAGGACCACCACGTTCAAGGCCTGTATCCACTTAAGGTTTTTTTTACTGATTCTTGTCAGAAAAGTTGGTAAGTGGGTGAGAAGAGGAGGGAGTAGAAGCCCCACTCAGACCTGAAGGTTAAAATCTGGTATCCAGTTCAGCTTTACATGTGTTCTCTGCAGTGACAGCTGAGAGGAGGAGTAGGTTACTGGCCAGATCATCTAAAACAGAGCTTTGAAGCTCAATTTCTCTTTTCCCTTTTGTATTTAGCTCCTTCAGGTACAGGTGGGGGAAGGTGATGGGGATGAAAAGGGAGTATTGGGGCATTTTCAGGGCCTAAAACCAAGCGCCATTAAACTTCTGTCTTTATTTCAAAGTGCCTCAGCTTCCTGAGTAATTTTTACTCACCTATGATGAGGTTGCAGGGACCAACCGTGTAGGGCTTATAGGCCAGAGAAATTATGCCAGATTTTATCAAGGATAGTGGAAAGCCATTGGAGGATTGAAAGGTAAGGAATCAAACTGTTAAATGATACCCCAGCAGCTCTGTGGAAAATAGTCTGGGAATAGGGTTAAGAGTGGAATAGGGTTAAGATTAAATGATACCCCAGGGATTAATCAAGGATTAATGCATCCATATAAAATTGAACCATGATTGAACCATTATTGAACCATGATTGAATCATGATCCCAAAAGATGACAACATATAGCAAAAGGGACTTTGCAGATGTGATTTAACCTAAGGGTTTTGAGTTAGGAATATTGTCCTGTATTACCCTTACAAGATGGAGGGAAGAAGATCAAAGTCAGAGAGAGAAAGTGTAAAGATGGAAGCAGGGAGACAAGAGAGGAGAGATGATGCTACCCTGGTGCTAAAGATGGAGGCAGGAACCACAAACCAAAGCCTCTGGAAGCTGGGCAAGCCATGGAAACCAAGTCTTAGAGACTTCATAGGATCTAAGTTGGCCAACACCTTGACTTTAGCCCAGTGAAACTGCAGTTTGACTTCTGTCATTCAGAACTGGACTTTTGGCATTCAGAACGGTAAGAGAACAAATAACACATCTGTACCATCTTAAGCCACTGAATTTGTGGTAACTTGTTGCAGCTGCTATTGGAAACTAATATACAGCTATTTGTTCTTTAAGAAAAAACAAGAACAAAGGAGACAAATGCGTTTTCCTCACCTTCACAATTTCCTTGAGGTAAGCATCAATAAAGTCTCTTGACTCATCAGGATTCCAGTCTTTCCTGTGTTTTTCAACTTCATGAGAAACAAACAATTTCAGCTTTTCCCAGTTCCTGAAGACAGTTTGATGAGGTCCAGGGAGGAATTTCATTATCCATGGAAAGACATTGTAGAGCTAATGGCAAAAAATAGAAGGATCATGGAGACAGCATGGGGCCACTTTTGCACTTTTGGGGACAATCTTCTCTTTCCATCTCTTTTATTTGCCTATGCTTAAGCTGAGGAGTCATCCTTGACTTCTCCTTTCTCTCTAGCCACTCTGGCAGGCATTCAACCCTCCACACACTTCTCATCAGTCCAAGTACTTGCCATCCCACAAGAAACTACCACTGTCTCCTACCCAAATGCTGCCATAGCTTTCAGCAATTTCCTTATTCCACTCTTAACCCTGTTCCCAGACTATTTTCCACAGAGCTGCTGGAGTATCATTTAACAGTTGGATTCCTTACCTTTCAATCCTCCATGGCTTTCCACTATCCTTGATAAAGTCTGGCATAATTTCTCTGGCCTATAAGCCCTGCAGAGTTGGTCCCTGCAACCTCACCACCTCCTTTCTATCCCTCCCTGCCACTTTCCACTGGACAGTCCAACCACAGAGGATTAATGCATTCATATAAAATGCTTCCAGAGAAAAGGAAAAAGTAGTTTTGAAGAAATAGCAATCACATTTCTAGCTGACTCTCCCTGGCACCAGTGCAAACCTAGAGGATGCTGAAAGAATATTTTGAGTATATAAAGAGAAAGGAGTCAAACTTCTTTAAATATTTAATTTAAGAAAATAAAGTCTCATAAGTTTGTTTAATACACTTGCTGCCTTGGCACCCATTCAATTTGACATGAGTCACTTAAAGCCTCATTGTACCATAGCCTTTGGCCTAGTGAAACTTCTCCTTCCTTTGTGATAATAATACATTTTGCTTATTCTTCATATCACTGATCCCATGGCAACACATCCCATAGCTTCTGACCATGAAATAAACATAATGGTTAATACTGGAGTCATTTAAAATGTTTCCATCTAGAGCCCCCAAGAGTGTTTTCTTTAAGCTAGCAATTGACCACCCCCAGGAAAGCTTGAGGGACCACCATGGCCTTTAATGAAGGCTTGGTCTCACAGGTTCTGTCTCTGTCTCTCTTTCTCTCTCCACCCACTGGTTGAGACCCTCCCATTCCCAGATCTCCCATCTGTCTTTGTGGGCCCTCTCACTCTCAGGATTTAGGAGTAGTATCTTGCTTCTTTTATTTCATGAGCCTGCTATACTTTGTCTTACCTGATCAGCCCTAAACCTAACTCTCCTGCTGGTCAGGGCTCTCCTAGGAAAGGGTTGTCTTGGCTCATGGTCATTCTCTTGATAGAAATCTCAAGACCAAGATAGAGGAAATCACAGTGTAAAGATCTTTTTGAATCCAAAAGAATTTACCATCAATTGATCTCCACTAAATGAAATTCAGGAAGGGGCTTTAAATCCAAGATAGGATGATAAAAATAGAAACTGATAAATATATAGGTCAATATAAGCAGACATTGCATGAAACAATAATGATCATGTACTGATAAAAAAAAGTTAAAAAAAGAACAAAATAAAATAGGTGATGACATTGACCTAAAGGAGTGACAAGAGGTATGTTCTGAAGATCATGTATTATTTCGGCAGAGCACAAAGGTATTAATCTCAGATGCAGGCAGTTAATTGTGCATATTAAAAATTTTAGGGTAATGAGTAATATAATAATAATAAAAATTTTAAGGCAAAGACTAAAGAAATAAAAAAAACTTAATCTTCTAAATGAATATAGGAAAAAGTAAAATATATTTAATAATAATGAGTCAAAACAGAAGAAAAACAGAAGCCATAAAGTGATGAATTAGTTTTCATTTGACAATAAATTTGAAAAAAGAAACTAAGTGCTTCAATAAAAAGAAAAATATTGTCGAATTGGGTACAAAATTTATATTCATTTTTATGCTGTTTAAAAAGAAAACATCTAAAATATAAGGGCCTAGAGAAGTAGAATATAGTATATAGTATATACTGTATACTATATATATATATATATATGTATATATAAATAGTATCAAGTTCTGATGGTTATGTAAATAGTGTGAAATCTTTAGTTATCTTTTATGCCCAGATACACATGCAAGACAAATGAGTGAGTGTGTCCACATGAACACTAGTAAAAGAATATTGGTTGCAGCTCTATTCATAATATGAAAGTTGGAAAACGCTCAAATTTGTTCAAAAATAGCAAATAGATTAACAAACAGGGGTACATTCAATACAAGGCAAAGCTAGTCTGCATTAAAAAAAAAAAAGAAGAAAAAGAAAAGCAACCAAATCAAGCGAATCTTAAAACAACACACCAGGAGAGAAACTGCACTCAGAAGGGTGCTTGAGGCAGGAAGGAAATGGATATTTTGGAAGTAACATGTAGAGGAGAGATTCAAAGGCAAGGGCAATGGCAATGTGTTCTCTTGAAAAAGAACAACATAGGTGTGTAAGTGTATGTCTTGTATAATTTTGAACTCTGCAGGAATCTTAGAAATGTTTCTTGCATTTAGTAAATTTTCAACATTATTAAAAACACTAAAGTCAAAAAGCTGATTTCAAATAAATTTTTGTTAAATTAATTTTAAAATGTTACATTTCAATTAAAAAACAAAAAGAAGAAGAATCTATGTGTATATGAGATCAGCCCCAATGGCCTTAACCAGCATATAGAAGATGACTGCTTACTTGACAGAATCTCGAAGCCTCCAGAAACGTGACCTCATCCAGTAACTTCAGCAGCTCCTGGAACTGAGCATCCTGGTACTCAAAGCGCTCTCCAAAGGTGATAGAGCAAATGATGTTTGAAACTGCATTGTTGATCTTGAAGTGAGGGTTGAAAGGCTGTCCTGGAGGTAGAGAAAGGTAGAGAGTTCTTCAAAATCATTGGTTTCTTCCTGTTTTCTACAGGAGTCTATTCTAGCTGACACAGATATACCTACTAGAGAATCCTAGAGGAGGTGCTGGCCACAGCCCCCTATATGGGGTCTGTGATACAGCAAGGATATAGTCAATGCCAGGGGGGTTGAACTGATAACCAGGACTTAAATACTATAATATGTTTAATGTTTGTCTTTGTGCACTGAATTCTAGCACTCCTTGAAAGAAGTGTCTTGGTATTTGTTTCCTATTGTATCCTCAGAGCCTAGGACAGTGCTGGTCATAGGCAAGCACTTAGGCACTTAAAAAGAATCTATCCAGTGAATGCATTGGCTACAGGCTCCTGTAAATGCTCTTGTGAAATGCTCACCATTCTCCTCTTTGATTGCCTCAACAAGGTGGTAGGCCTCCTCCTGGATACGTTCCTCCAGGCTCTTCCTTCCTAAACCAAAGTTCCTTAATGTTGTCAGAGTGAATCTTCTTTGTTCCTTCCATATTTGGCCATTAGACATGATCAATCCTAGGGAGAAAAAGCCAATATTATGGTATTCTGATTCTACTATGCAAATATCTGGCAAATTGTATGGAAATGTGTATCAGATGGAAAAGAGGAGGGACATTAAGGCACCTGAATATTATTCAAAGAAATAAGACCTAAAGCAATGAACACAATGGCTAACATTTATTGATTACTTACAACATCAGGTACTTTAGTGTTTTTTATGTATTATGTTATTTAACATTCATAGAAGCTCTTTGGGATAGATACAATTATTGCCCTCCCGTTCTCTGCCCTTCCTTGAATTTTACTGAATGGGAATAAGGGATAAAGTAAATTTTGCAAGGTCATATAGTAATCAGTTAACCAGGTTCTCAAATTCAAGTCTCCCTGATTCTAAAACTCATGCTTTAATCAGTAGCCACATAAGTACAGTTCAGTAGTTATGGCAAGCTAAGTACCAAGAATGTACTCAGAGATAAGTCAAAGTCCATAATTGTTAGAAGGCAAAGAAAGGCTTTATAGAAGAGGTCCTAAGTGTGACCTTAAAAGATGAAGGAATCATTCAACAAAGCAAGAGACCAGTGAGTATTCCACACAGAAAGAACAGCATAGGAGAAGGGGGAAAAACATCCTGTTGTGTGCAAAAGACCACCATCTATTTCACTACACAGGCAATGCCATGCGCCCTTCCACTTCCCCATGGTTACTCCTCAACTTCTTGTAATACCTGGCTTTGGCTCTGTTGTGGGAAACAAGACTGGTGGAGAAGCAGCAAGCAATACTCAGAGAGGAGAACTCCAAACTCTATTTTATGCTGGTGGGCTCAGAGGAAAACAAAACTCCAAATTCTGAGCCCTGATCCACAGTTTCTCACAACATTTATTCATGATTTCATGTCTTCTTAGACCTATCCTATCATTCGGGCTTTTTTCTCTTAAAATTTTTCCTAATCTACTCTGCTAAAGGACCTGTGCAGGGTTTCTAACATGCTCACAGAAACAGGTAGGAAGAAGGCTCTTTTGAGAGGGAGTAGTCAGATCCCTAGGGCAGTTATTTACAATCCAAAAGGTTAATCAACCCATGGTTAATTAGGCTTCCAAGAGAAAGGCTGAGAGAGAGGAGAGCAACTGATCCTTCCCCAGGCATAGGTGTCTTTCCATAACATTTTTAAAAATATATTTTAGATGTGTAGACCTTTATGATTTTATTCATTTACTTATACGTAGTGCTGAGAACTCCCAGTGCCTCACATATTCTGAGCCACAGCCTCAGCCCCTTTTACCATAACATTTTTATAATTCATTTCACAACCAGGTGTGGTTTTGCCATCACAGCTCCACCAAGCTAATGAAATGTCCATCCTTGCCATCAGTTCAGGACTATCTTTCAACCTCATTTCACCTGATCTTTTAGCAGCATGAGATGCTTATTTAATTGCACACTCATTTCTGGTGGAGTCCAGGGTATGCACTTCCATATTTTCTTCTTAATACCCTTCAAGAAATTTCTTATATCTTTTTCTGTTTCATCTTCTATCAAGTCTTGAAATGGCAGAGTTCTTTCAAGATTAGATCTGAAGCTTTTTCACACACTGCCTCCTCCTCTGCTATAATTAGATGATATGGTTACTTCATTATCAAAGCATCCAGAGTTTGTGCAGAACATGTGGTTTCTCCAAAATCTCTATCAGGACCCATCAAGATAAATCTTTAAAAGGAGATGTTTTCAACCAGAAAATGTGGGCATTTGGCTTCTTATAAGGGCAGGTATTTCATAATGAGGTTAACTTCTGGGAGTGTCAGAAAATTATAGGCATAGAGGCATGGTGAAGAGACCATAGCATTTCAAATGCACACCTTACAGTCATCAATAAACTTACCATTTTTCCTAAAGATACGTTCTCGGAGAGGCGTTACAGGGCGGTGTAGGAAGGACTGGTCTGTCTGGGAAAGAACTTCTTTGATTAAGGGCAGTCCAGTTATGAGCACTGAAGACAGGTTACCAAAATCCAAGCTAAGAACATTCCCATATTTCTTCACCAACTGAAAAACAGTTATAGTCACAGATGAACATGCACTTGTCTGTGTGTCTGGGACACAGGCATGTGTGAAGCTAAAGGGCTCACATTGAGGGAAGCGTGTGTGCGGACACACACCTTGCTCTGATAGGAAGAGTTTGAACTTTTTCTCCTCGACTAAACTCAAATTTAGTTCATGGAGGGATTGGAAGTTTCCTTATGAACATATATTCATATATTCAACCAGTATGAATAGAGTGAGTATCTACCATGTGTCACTAAAAGAAGGCATAAAATAAACAAGGTTCCTAACCTGAGGCATCCTAGAGTTTAGTGAAAGCAGAAAATGCAGCACATTTGAACTCGAAAATTTGCTGGATATGTTTTCTTTTTTTTCCTTATTTCTTTTTCTTATGGGGAGGGGGAATCTTGTTGTTTTAAAATATGATTTTCTGGGTTATCAGTATCCATTTTCAGTTTATTGGGTTTTAATTTTAGAATTTTAACAACTTTTATTAGTTTATATAAATAATCTTTCTCTATCTAAAGATATTAAATAGCCCTTAAGATTTTGTTTTTCCTATATACATTTTTTTTGTGTCTTCATATTATATTGTTTTGTCTTTAAGTTTTATGTTGGGTATGTTTAATGTAAGTCTGGTGTAGCAAATATGGAATTTTGTTAGGTTGTAGCTGGCAATGAGCAGTAAAATGCAGGCAAGGTCACAGGTATTCTTTAACTTACGTTAGTGTCTTCTTTAAACTATTTCAAAAGTAAAGAAGAAAGCAAAATGTGATAATTTGTAGAAAAAAACAGAAGCAAAAGGAGCTAATCAAGAAATATGTCAAGAGAAAAGGATTAATGAGACTAACTCTTGATAGGGTCCATTGATGTTGACCTGAAGCTATGAATTATGGCTAAAAGTATCTCCTAAAAGTACCTCCATTTATCTAGGGAGGAAGATTCCTTTTTTAGTGCAGGCGCACTAAGGTAACTTCTGACCACCAATTGACTCAAGTGCTGACATTAACATGGGATTGTGAAAGATTGAACAAGATTTGTTGTAGCTGGAGAAAATGCCCATTTATTGAAGAACAGCTCTGCATATTTATAGAGCCGGGGGTGGTTTGACAGTTATGTCAGTTTAAAGGTTGAACAGTTTGACAATTGGCATGGGGTGCTTTCTGATTGGTGGGTAAGATCATGTGAGCCAGCAGGGCTAGTCTGATTGGTGGGTAAGGATCATGTGAGCCAGCAGGGCTCACCATTGGATGGCTCTTCTGGGGTGGGGGGAGACAGAGGGTTTGAGAAGCCAGGTCATCCTGCAGCTAATTTTGTTTGGCATGCCCTGCACACCAGCCTGTCCTGCCCCTAACACCCTCAATTCCCCTCTTCATTCCTAGTCCAATCTAGCTCCCTCCCCCTCTCTATTAAGGCTGTTCTTCAAACTCTCTCCTACCTGGGTGTCTCTGAAACCAGCTTGCTTCTCTCTTTACCTTTCTTGAAATATCCCAGCTTTCCAAACCAGCTTGCTTCTCTCACTTATCACTGTTCCCAGCTTTCCCTAGTCACATCCAAGAAAGTATGGGCTTTGAAATAAAGAAGGCAGCTTCTCCCACACTCTGAATGAAGGCGGCCATGGGAGGATGATGGCCCATTGTTACCAGATTGCCCTTTGAGAGCAGTCAGATCTCTCCAGGTTTTATGTGAAACACCTCGAACTTAAATACTGACATTTGAAATTCTTACGAACTGGGAGGGTAAACAAAATACACATGTTCCTCCTTAGGCCCAGAAGGCAACTCATGAAGTGCCCTCTTATGATCACACTTATTCAGGGGTCATCATGCTCCCGACACCTAAGTTGTTTGTTAGAAGAACAACACACAATGGTCCCACTACCAGCCAGATCCAAGCAAGTAGGGGGGCTGTAAGGAGGAGAAGGAGGTCTGGCTGGAGGGGGCCCTTAGGGTCACTTGCTTTGAATCTCCAGACACAGGGTGAAGAGAGGACCCAAGAGGGACCAGAAATCGGGGGGGCATTGACAAGAGTACTTAATGACAGGTGATGATCTTGTCTCTCCTGATGAAGGGGTAGGAGCGCCGGGCTTAAGCCTGGAAATATGAATCCATGGGGTAAGTTGGTTATTAGACAGCTTGAGTTTGGCCACCAAGGGAGTGCACATAATCACCTGAGCAGGACCCTCCCATTTTGGTTTTAGAGGGGGCTTTTACCCCGGTGGGCAATAGTAAACAAGTTGACCAGGTGTTAAGGAGTTAGGGTTTTGAAAGAGACTGGGGTCAGGAAGGAGCCAGTCTTGATAGCGCCAGAGTTCAGAGCGTAGATGGAAGAGGAGGGGCAGGGCATCTGTAGGCAATACGGGAGGAACGAGGGGACGGCCATACATGACTTCGAAAGGTGAGAGATTAGAAGGCTTCTTGGCAAGGTCCTAATGTGCAATAAAGCCAAGGGGAGCACCTTTACCCAGTCCAGGCTTAATTCCATAGTGAGCTTGGTGAGGGTCTCTTTAAGGAACCCATTGGTCCTTTCAACCTTTCCAGAAGCCTGGGGGTGGCAAGGGCAATGGAAATGCCAAGGGAGTGATAGTGCATGAGCCAGTCCCTGAGTTATCTTCGAGGTGAATTGTGGGCCAATGTCTGATTGGATAGAAGTGGGCATCCTGAAACGGGGGATTATGTGAGTAAGCAATAGATCAATTACCATAGAGGCCCGTTTGTTAGAAGTGGGAAAGGCTTTAACCCATTCCCAAAAAGTATATGACCGTGGGCCTGATGAGAAGGAAAAAGTTTAGGTTTTATTGGTTCTCTGGCAGATCTAACAAGCAGAAGTGATCTGTTGTAGGAGGGTTTTATCACGTGGGGGAAAGGGTGAAAAAAGAGTGAAAGAAATAGTGAGACTCTGTGGACTAGAATGGAATAGAGAGTGAAGAAACTGGAAGAGTTGTTCGGGATCTTTGGGCCCATCCCCGGTGGTAAAGAAGAGTAGCGAAGAGGAGGTAAATCTCTGGAGGGCGGCTGATCGAGCCGCTTGATTGGCCTTGGAATTCCCCGTAGTAGTAAGGGAGGAGTCAGTTTGGTGGGCCTTGCAATGGATTATTCCCAGTTAGGAAGGCAGCCTGGAGGCTTGTAGTAGACCAGAAATAAATGTGGAATTAATGACTGCCGTCCCTCTGGTGGTCAATACCCCCTTTCTTCCCAAATGGCTGCGTGGGAGATCAGGATATGGAAGACGTATTATATAGGGAGAGGGCTTTTCCCTCCGCTAGCTCGCATGCTCTTGTGGCAGCTATGAATTCAGCTTGTTGGTTGGTGGTATTGGGTGGGAGAGGTTTGCCTCTATGATGGATGAGATGGAAATGACAGCATACCCCGCCACTTTAACCCCTTCGTGTATAAAGGAGCTACCATCTGAGAACCAGAGGGAGTCTGAAGAGAACAGGTGGTAGGGCAGGGTAAAATCATACCTTCCAGCATTTGTGGATTGGATCTTGTGGGGAAGAAGATGGGAGGAGGCAGGCAGAGTTTAATGGAGAGCAGGGCTGAAAAGAGATGGAGGGATTTTCAAGGAGAGACAAAGAAGGATAGAACCCTGGAAGGAGGAAGTGACTGCAGCCCCTTGTAAGTGAGGAAATCCTTTAGATGGTGAGGAGATGAGATGGTTAGCAGGGAGCCAAAGGTAAGCTTGTGTGCTTCTTTCTGGAGGTCATGGGCTGCTGATAGGGCTCTGAGGCATGGGGGCCAGCCCTGACAGTGAGGTTGGATAGGTAGGCCACTGGTGCAAATGTGGGGCCATATTCCTGACCCAGAACGCCCAGACTTTGTCCCTGTTTCTCATATTCATAGAGGGTAAAGGGTCAGGAGAGGTCAGGGAGATGCAGGGCGGGTGCCTGGAGGAGGGCCTTTTTAAAGGGCTTCCCTACCACTGAGGGGGGAAGGGGGCCCTTGGCCAGATTATATAGCGGCCTGGAGAGGAGGGAGAATCCAGGCCCTGAAGTACCCAGCCAAACTCAAGAAGGAGAGTATGTCATCTTTGGTCTTTGGTGTAGGTATAGACACAATAAGCTGTTTTCTGTCTATTGTAATGGCCCTTTTCCCTTGAGAGATATGTGACCCCTTAACATGCTATTTGGGCCTTTTGTGAAGAGGCTTGATATCCCTTTAAGGCCAAGAAAGTAGGAGAACTGTGTCATCTGATGAGCGCCCTTTGGATGGGCTAGAAGAATTTGTAGAAGTTTGCAAGAGATGCAGAGAGCAGGATTGGATCGGAGCAAGAAGAAAGCCTGGACATAAGCGATCTCTACCCATTTTTTTT